ATATAATATATTATATAAATATATATATATATATATATATATACACACATACATACATACATACGTACACACAGGCTGTCCCATAAGAGGGGGACTGAAACTAATTAGCTGTCATTTTTTTAAATGTCGCAATATTTTAATAAGTTTCAATTCCAACAAAATGTACTTGGATTTTAAACAAGTATATCCGGAAGAGGAAATAAAATAATTCGCTAAAAAAAAATAAAATAATATTATTTTATATTTGACTTGGTTTAGCCTAGTTTTAAAGGGATTTTAATTAAGGATGTATATAGTTAATTTCATGTATCTTAAATTAAATATTTTAATCAAATTCAAGTGACAGTTTCGTCCACTCTTTATGTATGCATACTTGTAAATGTGCTTCTGTAATGTATTAATTACACATGAAGATGTACTGATATTTTATCAGCTCATGTTATTAGTAAAACAAGGTTCAAATAAAATTAAAATACAATTCAGCTCGATTTTAAAATGTACATTGAAAAATTAAGAATATCGCGCGATAAACTTTCCATAGATCGCTTTTAATTTTACGATGACTTTACTTTTTTAATAAGAGGTAAGTTTAATCGACACAAGATACAAAAGAAGGATATAAAATCGATATTGGGTTCTATAGAAAGCGGTACAGTAGCGGTACGTCGGATATAGATAGAATTTTTTTCTCTTAAGAATTGAAAGATTATTCTCCCTATTTTTCGGCGCTCGAGCTCGAGCCTTATCTGATGCCACACAGCCTCAGCAGCGATGAGTCGAAGAATGAGTCATCCATTAACAAAAAGTGACATTGTTATGGTCTTAATTTTTACATTATAAAAGCAATTTTAATAAAGTAGTAAGATTTTTCAAAATATAACAACACCACACATTCACATAATTTTTAATTAAACATATAACAAGACTTGTTTCGACGTATAATGTGTTTTCAGAAAGACAAAAAGCGTCCGAAAAGAAGCAAAATTAATAATTACAACATTGCTAATACTGATAACAAAATTCTCGAGATATTTGAAAATAAATTTTGAAAAAACGCGCTGCTGTGGCACAATGCCGTGGCACAAGCATAATCTCGAGCAATGTGCTTATATTCAGAAATTACTGTCTAAAGGATTTCGGTCGCGCGATGTTTAGAGACCGTTTCTAGTGTGCTGTCTGCTCGTTCTACGGCAGACAGCAGTCCGTCGTCACGCGAACTCGTCGTCGTATCTTCGGACCGCAACAATTCTGCAAAGAAAGGAAAAGTTCGCGACGCGCGATAGGCAAGTCGTGCTTGCCATCGCGTTATAAAGGCACCAATAACGATCGATGCGCGAACGTTGAGTGAAGGAAAGGCGCTCGCGGAGAACGAATCGAGAGCAAATCAAATTCACGAGCGACGTAAGTTTCGTCACAAGCGGAAGCGGAATTGACGTAAATGCAGGCGTTCGAATCGAACAATGTATAGGAACACGCTGAATTCTGTCACTGTTACGAGTGAAATTACGGGAAATATATTCAATCGGTCGGAAACGCATTTAATCGCTTCATTGTCGAGCCGAATTTAGAGCAATACCTTTTTTGAAAATTTTTAAAATAATTTATTATTCATCATTGAATTGCTTCCTTCCTTTTTGGGGGGGGAGGGGGGAATCCAAAATAGTGCTTCATCGAAAAGTATTATAAACTAAATCAATTCTGATTAAAATGCAAAACTTGTGCCATTTTTTATATAAAGAAAACGCGAAGCTGGCAACTCGTGGACTACACATTTATAATAGCCACTTTTTGAAATGCATCCAGGACTCGAAAATTCATTGGCGAAGAGCCAGAAAAATCCATTATCAATCGTACATTATTTTCAAATATTAATATAAATATCAAGAATAATATAAGACTTGACAAAAATTCAGGCAAAATATGTAAATTCAAGATTTGACTTGCAGCGAGCGTAAACGGGTCGAATAAGTGGCGATGACAAATCATCGCTCGAGAAAGATGCGGGGAACATTGCGTCACGTTCACTGCGCGGCTATCAGAACGCTCGCGGGCAAAAGGGGCGGAATCTTATAAGCGAGCATGTGTGCACCTGCTCTGCGCTAAACTAAAAATGACGTTCGGATGGTAAAATACGGGATGCCGTGTTATTAAAGCGGAACTGTTCAGCGCGCGCAAGCGAACCTCCGAGCGGAGCGCGAAGTCAACGACACGTGTATTTCTGTCGCGCGTCATTAGCCGACTCGCGTCGAGTCGACTCTTTGTCTTTAAATCAACGATACGGCGTCAGGACACGATGTTCTTCACGCTTTCGAGCCACCGCGTCGCGTAGTGCCGGAAACACGCCGGAAATTATCGGCTGGCAATTTGCGGTGCTTGTTTTCGAGTCCACCCTTAATCCGCGCTTGAAATTAAAAATTAAACTCGCACAGCTGCAGCTTTTGATATTTGCGCAAAATGTTTACGCTACGCGCGTCCCACTCCGCGCGATTATTCGGGCAGAATGTAATTTGCGTCGAAAAAGAATAAAAAATTTCGGTATGACGAATGCGTCGGCGACTTCCCGCGCGGGTCGCCGAGCGATTTCTTCCGTCTTCGTTCCACATATTCCCGTTTCGTTTTCTCTTTCTCTCCGCATCTCTCTCTCTCTCTCTCTCTCTCTCTCTCTCTCTCTCTCTCTCTCTCTCTCTCTCTCTCTCTCTCTCTCTCTCTCTCTCTCTCTCTCTCGTCTCTCTCTCTCTCTCTCTCTCTCTGTCCTCCCCTCCACCGTGCCCGCCCCCTCTTCTGTTTCCACGCGCTTTCCCCTCTGGTATCGTCCCATTCTAGCTCGTCGCTTTCCGCTCGTCGCGTCTCTCCGTCGTCGCGTCGGCTGGTTTATACTGGAACGCGGATCGATATCGGAGTCCTATATAATACCGTGTATAAAAGCGTGGTAGATATGCAAGGTTGGAGAGAGAGAGAGGGAGGGAGGGAGAGAAAGAAAGAGAGAGAGATAGAGAGAGAGAGAGAGAGAGAGAGAGAGAGAGAGAGAGAGAGAGAGAGAGAGAGAGAGAGAGAGAGAGAGAGAGAGAGAGAGAGAGAGAGAGAGACGAGA